TATCAACACAAAAGTGATTGGCAAAAAAGGTCGGGATATCCTGTACAGGAATACGCCGAGCGGCCGAGAAAGTACATTTTCGGTTTTCGGGCGGTTATGGCTGCGGTCCACTTGACGCTACAAACGCTTCGAAGCGTTTGAGCAACCAATCAGAACAAAGAATTTTACAAATTGACTAATCAAAAACGCTTCGAAGCGTTTGTAGTGTCAAATGGACCGCAGCCTATAACAAGCGACTACGATACTAGAGGAAGTAAGACAGCGTGAGAGAGAGAGCGGCCGTCCTTTTCGCTCTAATACTCACCTGTAGAGAGAGAAGAATGGGCGCTGTCTCTCGCTGTCTCGCTCGCTCTCGCGGCGAAGACGGCCGACTCGATGCCGGTAGGTGTCTGCTTGGTGGGGTTGGTTTCTGTGTTGCCGGGGAGTCAAATGTGACACTGACATGAAGTATAAGTTCATATCTGTGTGACACGTTGTCGTTATCGGACAGGGGTTTGAAATTGCGAAATTTTAATAATTGTAATATACCCACTATTTAAGATTTGGGATATTCAACAAAAACTTCACGTTTCTTGTCATGTTCCATGATGGTAAGTCACTCAAATTCATTTTTCTCATTTATCTGTCTAGTGTGACTTTTCTATAAATGTCAGATTATCAACGCTGCAATTTTGTCAATTTGAGAGTGACTTAAGCATTGCGAACATGTGAACTTATTAAAATTGTATCATTCTTGCTGAGGAGGACTTCAAAGAGAGTTGAAACGTTCAAGTAAAGAAGATATCAATCCATTTTTTGAGTATTGATTGATCATTATAACACTTGCGCCGTTTATCGTCGCTGACTCTCATTAGTCCACTATATCTTTTGTTTGTTATATTGCCTAATAAATCTTATTACACATTGACATCTTGTGTTTGGCTCCAAAAGACATCAACTTATGCACTAAAGATTCATCTGTAATGAGCCTATTTACAACTAATATTTAATTCATATTTTAGCTAAAGAGTTGTACACCAATAGTACATCGAAGCAAGAACAAAGCGACAATATTAATAAAAACGTTAATAAAGATATTAATAATATAATTAATAAAGACAGTAACTTATCAATCAAATTAATTGCGCAATATTTCTCTTGGGATTCGAAGTTCCGACAACCACGAACTCGTATCTTGGCAAATCCCTCTTTGTACTCTGATCGACACAACATTTCTGTCTGTAAGCTGTGATAAAAAATGGAATATTCTTTATTTACTCTGCTAATTTTGTCAATGGCGATTATGAACCTCGGATACGAAGTGGATGTCGTACACGAATGGGAATACGTTGAGTTTGAATGGGAAAGTCAAGAGCAGAAGGAAAATGCGATAAATTCTGGCACTTACAATCCTAACACTAGCATATTGGTAGATGCAACTAAAACAGATGGTAAGTTAATGACAATATTTAAAAAAGTTTATCAATTTTTTATAAAAATTTGAGCACTTTTATTTCCACACAGCTTATAGTATTCAACAACTATAATCATATTATGTATAAATTTATTATATTTTTTTAAGAATTTTAAGCACACATTTAATTTATTTTATTGTAACTGTATATTGTAACTGTCCCTGTTCAGTGTCTTTAAGTCAACTTGTTTATTACTGAATTAATTATTAAATATTATAGCTTTAATTTTATTGACTTGAAATCGATAATTTCAACTATTTCTTTTTCCAATTACATTTCTTTAATTCTAGAAAATGTTAATGTTATATTTTCGATAAAAAAAAATTTTTTTTAATGTTAAAAATTTTAAAATTTTAAAATGTTAAAAATTTTAAAATGTTAAAAATTAAAAAATTTTTTAATTTAAAAACTTTAAAATTAAAAAAAAATTTTTTTTAAATGTTAATGTTATATTTTCGATAAAAAAAATTTTTTTATTCTTATTAATGTGTTATCCTAGAGACAATGGCCTTATTAATGTGCCCTCAATTTATGTGTATATTATACTCAATCATTTGACACGTTTCAACGCGTATAGTTAAATACATATAATAGTTTAAAACGGATAAAAAGTGTAAGCTAACTATGTGAGTTAATATTACGTAGTGTAGAGCGGGGCTATTTTCCGTCAGTTTCAACTTTAAAGTAATATGAAATTTTACGATAGCAAATAATATTTCTTTGAAACGTAACGTGCTTATAATTACGTATATTATACAATTATAATTACTCCTTGAAAGCACAAGCACAATCTTTAAATAATCAACATGTGCTGTTTCGAAATTTAAATATCGCGAGAAATGGACGGAAAATCTTCGCTCTATCCTATATCATTATTTTAGTTATACTTACAATTTGAATGTATACACTCGTAACACTGTGCCGTCAACTTAAGTACAAGGACACAATTACCCTACATATATGCTTCGATTAATATCTCAAATAGCATTACAACTGTCATGAAATATATCTTATAATAGCAAACATAGGTTTTTTTATCAAACAAAATTTTTACAGATGGTAGATTATTCATTACTGCTACTAATGTATTTGGACCTGGTTCACCTGCTACTTTGACGACAATAACTAATAAGACAGGATCAGGAGGTCCCATTTTACGGCCATATCCAAATTGGAGTTGGCATAATGGCAGTTGTATTTGTGATGGTATTGTAAATGTTTTCCGAATAGATGTAAGTATGCGATGACTTTAATTTGTTCAGATGGTTTTTTATTTTATATGTATATATTATAATTATATTTTATATTTATATATAATAAGATTAAAAAAGCAATAATTTATTTATATATAAAATCTTTAAATAGCTAACAGTTTATTAGAGAAAAAGGTTTTAATGTGGATTCTTACTGCTAATGTGAGACTCACTTTTAAAAATTCTGTTATAATTAACATTTCTTACAAAAAATTTCTAATTTGTTGAATATAAGTATTGAAGTTAACAAAAAATTATCATGACTAGTGTGACTATTTCTTATTTAACAATTTATATCTATTAGGGTAAGGTTGCCGATATTGCACCGGCTCCTAGATCGCACTACCTCGCCTAAAAAATCAGTTATTTTATTCACACACTTTCTTACGGATTATTTACAAACTACAAGGTATTTCAACGCTGCTGCGTTACATTTGTGACATGAAATGCAGTAGGAGCCTC